TATGGCGAACAAATATTTTGACAAGATGAATCACATTTCACGGGATTCTCATGTGAAACTGTGCCCTGCGTCACATGAAAATCCCGAGCATTCGATTACTCTATGTAAAGTGCGAAACTACAGTAATACCTTCTCCTTGTCTCTTCGTTTAGGATCTGGTATTCATCATTTGGAGAAACCCACGCTAATACGCACAAAATTAGACAATTTTGAGGCACTTTGATGTTTTACATCCACTCGCCCCAGTTCATCCCTCTTCCCACCTTGTCAATGAAGAAGTGTTTCCGTAGTCACGTACAGGTCACGCAGACGAAAAAGATAGATAAACACAGCAGAAATAATATTGCCTGGTTATTGGTGAAGGGGTGGTGGTGAAAACTTCAGCATGGTTTTGGCCAGCTCTTTCAGAAACTGTGAACTGGCAGACAGGAAGAATTAACGAAAGGAGACATAGAGGCGCGCAATGAAAAAGCTTGAAAAGGAATCAAAAGCCCGGGATCAAAAGGCCACTTCCTGTCACACAATATCATCCACTATTGAGAACTGGGCGGTTTATATAAACAAAGGGAATAAGGGAAAATCCGGGAGAAATTGTGTTTAAATGGTTTTTTGAAAATGTAGTAGCAGCCTCGACAATTGAGGATCGAAGAAACTCAGTCAGAACGGGTTTTGGGATTATCAGTGGCAGGAGAGAAAAAACAAGAGGTCCGGTTTTTAACATCTTTTTGCTGGAGGCTATTATTTATATATTCTGTTGCCGTAAACTTCCGAAAGTAACCACCCCCCGAAAGTAGCGTCAAAAAAATGAGGCCGCTAATAAATCCCGAATGTAGTTTTTATGCAAGAACTATACCCGAGTGGAACTCAGTTCCTGCTGAAGTGACAAGCGTTTAGAGTCTCGTCTCTTTTTGATCTCAATAGTGATTTAGTTACATTTATTTCCTTTTTTCTCTTTGACATCTGCGGCGATGGGTAAATCCCTTTGCAGATTACGTATATGAATGTAGAGTGAAGATGCTAAATTGAAAACTCAACCGGCTCACTGAGGTATTAAGCAGTGCATCATGACGGTACAAACAGTTAATGGTATCTCGGGGAGGTATCCGGTCATCTCGCCACCAGGGAATTTCGCCACCAACGGCGACGAACTCGCCACCTCCAACAAAAAGATAAACTAGTCGAGTAAAGTAGTAGAGGTGAAATGATCAGATTAGCTGGCAAATCGGTTTGCCGCGCGCTCGTTTTGTTACTTTCTTGTTATAGTAGTCTTTTGCATCGTTGAAATGGACAACGCATTGCCTTCTTAGCTTTTTTTTCGAATGGCATATGTAGATTATTCCTCGTTCTTTTATCTACTGCCTTATTAGTTTATTGGTGATTTTATAAAGGAGGCTACTGGTGCGAAGCATATTGTAAATTATTTTGGACTGAAACACAGTCGACAACTTTATTCAGTTCTTTTGTTACTGCCAAAGAGTAGAGCGTGCACTTTACGGCGTTGGGTCATAACCATAATCTGACAAACCCGAGATTTTCGGTAGGTGGAGGGAAATTTTCACGATTGATCAACAGATTATATACATGTTGTGCTTTCGATTGTTGCCGTGGATGAAAAAAGTAATTCTTCCTGTCACATCTCAAAAATCTTTCCAGGAACAAGGAATTGAAGATAAAAGTAATATTGAATAAAGTAGCAGCTCAAAACGAATTTTTGTTGGAAAGAATGAAAAGAAAGAAAGCATTTCTTTTGTTTATCAACGGGACTGGATACATTAATTTTCAAGACCACTTTGGCACCAATACGTGACGAATACTGACTTTCTGTTTATTTTAATTTATGTACCTGTTATTCTAAATCTAATTTAAGACGTCGACTTAAGTTAACAAATCGAATGTGGTTTAGCGTGGTCTGTACTTTTATCGACAACGATACGCGTCATCACAGTGGTCAAAATGTTGTGGACTCGCGAGGCGCAGCCGTACCCGTATAGCGAAATCTGGATCACTGGATTGTCTTGCCAAAAAACGCTTACATACCACTTTTCTTGGGGCACGCCCCGCCCTTGATCTTTATAACCTTCTAGCGGTCAGCGGGAGACACCATTGCAAAATGCTGGCGCATGTCTTCTGCTGCTTTTGATCCGGGAGATTCCACGGGCTACAGGCCATGGCGGAAAAGTGGTGTTACGAAGCGAAAATTATTTGTCTTGGCTTTTGAATTATTCCAACAGTGTTGAACGAAGCAAAGCAGATAATCAGTCTGTGCTCTGCGGGCTACTTCGTAGAAAAAATATAAAACGTTAGGAGTCATTGTGCACGTTTTGTGAGAACAGATGTAAGCTCAAGTCTGCGGCGAGACAGGCTGATTGCTCGAAAATCGTAAGGTGTGTGTTTGTGCGACTTCATCGTTCAAAATGAGCTCAGCCCACGGAGGAAGAAGAAGGCCGCTTACCAGGACAACCTCTTCGTCGGAAGACCAAGCTTTGAATCAAATTGCTCGTGAGGTAAGCAGTACATTTGGTTAATCTTTACATCGTTAATTTTGATTCGTCGCAATCTTCCCAATTACCGGACCAGAAATTTTACTATTGAGAAATACAGCCTTCGTATACTGCTGAATGATTTAATGCTTTGGCTACATTCATTTGTCTGGATGAAGAATTAGAATGAAAAGTTCTGCTTGCGTTGGATAACATTGTATTTTCGTGTTCAAACTTCTTGTCAGTCTATTTCTGGATGGAAGTTACATATCGTGTACAAATTGTCAATTTCTAGTGGCAGTTTTTCAATCAATGGGCCAAAGTCACGATTTATGTAGTGGTAGTAATTTATAAACACTTATTTTGGATTAGTTTAGGTCGAGTTTTTTTCTTGCTGCTTCGTCTTTAATTTTTTTCATTAGGCAGGTCTAATTAGTTGTACTAAGTTTTTCCTTTACGTCGATAGTATTTTCAGCGCGAGACGTTTTGCCGGGGCGTGTGTCGTTGTTTATAATTTACGATTGTTGCCAAACTGACTTTTCTAGTGGGCGGCCACCTAAACCATTTCCTGTTAAATTTCGACGTCTCTGAACTGTTTATGAGAGACTTCCAGCTGCTTCTAACGGCAATTAACACCAAAATCCATACTCTTCACTTTACTCACTATACAATACTAAAAAAACATTAACTTTCGTTCCAAGCAGCACTGAAACTTCGTTTGCAGTTGAACACAATAAGTTTTAAATAAATGGCAAGAAAAATCAGTGTCACTGAAATTAATTTTGTAAAACTTTACTGAAAATAATTCATTCTTGATTATCCATCACAGGCAGTATTCCAGATCCACTCAGTGCAATTTACTTTTATTTCGTACTTTATCTTATTTCTTATTTTCATTTTCTTATTTGTCATTTTAGTAATTTTGAAACCAGAGTCAGATTTTAAGTTTACTCATCTAGAATTTTACTCCTCTAAAATAAGACTTCCGTCCCACTATTAACTAACCTCTTTTCAGTAATTATTGCTCCCTTTGGTGGAAAATACAATGTAGCAGATAATCATATTGCCTAATATCTACACATCTCAGTTCTGCAACATTTCTCATTGTTTAAACTTCAGATATTGTGAAGCAAAGTACAAGTGCAGTGTTTCTCAGAATATAAACCATGAATTTTGATTTTTACCGATAACTGGATAAGATCTCTGAGTTTGCCATTGATCTCATCTGAAGGTTGTGTCTATTTATGGTTTCGTACAAACTGCTAGAGCTAAAAATTCATTTTCAGACAATAATTGATACATATACTCAATATCAAAGTGATTTACCCAACCTATTTGAATTATGATCTCTTGAAAACAAGTCGTTACAAAATGAAGTATTCTGTGTTTGCAAATGGCAGGGGTATATTGCGGAATGCTCAATGCATAACACAGAAGCCAAATGCACTGTTTACTTGCATTCACTCATTTTTGCTTGTAGTTAGCTTTTATTTGTAGGAAAAGACAGCATTATACTGTATTTGGCTCATTCTGACAAACAAAAACTAATCACAAGCAAACATAAGTGAAAGTAATTGC